TTTTTAAAATCTGGCTTGGATTTTATTTTGGAGATAAGTATCACAACAGTGCAGCCACCGGAACATACTCCCATCTTCTTTATACTAGAATAAATCCAGGGTTATTTAATTGATTCAAATCTGTGTAAATAAGATAAAAATCTCTTTCCTTGCCTGTGCTGGATGGATCCTTAATCTGCTCTGTTAAAGGTTCCCAATATGTTTCATCATTTGGAGCCAGATATTAATATTGATACTCATGTTGATTAGTACCTGAGATCAGACTGAATTTAATGTGATTTCATTTCTCTGTTCCTCTGACTGAAAAGGGGGGAATATATAGCTCCCTTTCAAAATGCTTTCAGATATAGGGATGCAAGATGCTCTGCAGACCTGAAGAGCACTGCTCCTCCGAGTGGCCAATTCCATGCAGTCTCATTCGTAGCTAAAATTGGTCTAAAAACTGGCTGACAAAAAGGCAATTTCCAGCACTGGTGCTACTTACCTCAGTCACCATAGTTAGTCCCAGAAGATAGCTAAGGAAACATACTATAGCGATGAAGATTTCCCGTCGGTAACCCTTCCTTAGGAAGGATGGGTGCAGATCAACTAATGACGTGATCTGTCCTTCAACTTCAACAAACTAAAGGGGAAAAACAACAACAAAGAAATGTGACTTGAAAATTGACTGCCACACATTTCATCCGGGCTTTTACTTGAAGAAAGGCTCCACAGCAACACCCTGACTGTACTCTGTGGCAAAACGCTGCTCTGAATAAGTAAATCGGAAGCCATTCCTTTGTAACCCAGAGGTTGAAGCGTGGGGGTAGCTTTCAGGTTGGAACAAGCTTTCAGAATTGCTGTTCATTTCCTAGCAGCCTTATGAACTACCAAAGGGGCTCTGTGAGTGCAAGCCACACGGCTAAAGGAACTTAATTTGATGACAGGAAGGCACTTATGTGGCTCTTATGTTGTAGCTGTTCCAGCTGAATACGAGATGTCTGCTAGAAAAGAGGCAGAAGGAAAACGCTCAAAAAAGCCCAAGTTAAGAGAGTACCTCCCAGCCTTTCTTTGATGTGCCAGAAAACCTCACAGGTACTAGTTAGGTTAATTCCACCATTGGATTTAATTCGACTCTTGGGCCTGCTAGTGAAAATCCAGCCAAGGGAAAGCAGACTTTGATATGAAATAGCAGCACTTCTTGACTGAACTTGTCTTTTCTGAACCTGTGAGTAAGGAACCTGTGACCGGGGCTCTGGGGCACCTCTGCAGCAATAGCGGAGCTGTTGGTACAGTCCCCATACAAAGATTTGGTAAACTATTTCCATGTGGAAACCAAAGTAAAACTCTGAATAGATGAGCTAAAAATCTTACTTCATCTGCTTCATGACAACTGTATTTGTACTTACTTGCCATTGAAAAACTACATGTAAGATGTGTAACTTGAGTTAACCAAATAACCCAACTTGGATTTGAATAAAAGTTTGAAGTTAATCAAAAATCAGACGCATTTCACCCACGGAGAAAAGTGACTACTGACCGGCACCCAGACAAATCTGAAGAAGGGATCGTTCAGCTGATCTGTACTTTGGGCCTGGCAAGGTACAAAAGCACCGAGTTCACTGCAGACATGAGGATACCCTGCCTCTGTAGAAATGATCCTCACTTTAGGTGGATACATCATCTTATAACTAATGAGTTATCACGGAGAGTTTATGAAATAGCATTATTTCAAGAAAAGATACCTTTTCCTACCCACTATCTATATTGCTCTTACGGTGCCCAGAAATGCCCTGTAACAACTCTGCCCTCTTTGACCATGAGCTGAAGCTCCATTTTCGTCCTGCAAACACTCCACCAGATTTTCTTGCCTCCTGTCTTGTTACTTTGCCTTCTGTAAAACTGGTTTTCTTTTTAAATGCAACCCTTTCCTTTGGGCTGATTTGATCTTAAACTGCTTCAGCATTCCAGAAACCTGCTTGACTGCACTCCAAAAAACCAGAGGGGTGGAGGAGAGAAATTAAGCGCTCCAATTAGTTTTAATCATTCTACGCAGTGAGGAGCTTTTTAAAATTACTAGACAGCTTCCAATTTGCATAAGCACAGGGTTGTTGAACCACGGCATTGGGCACTTTTACATTTACTTTGAAATGATTGAAAGTTGCTCACTAGAGTTCAAAGATTAAGCCGTAAAGAGCAATTTAGGGCAAATGGAATATAAAAAATGTAAGAGATTAAGTACACAACAACTGGGTAAAAATCCATTTACAGATCTCTCCTCATACGAGAGCGTTTAGGCTAAGTGAACGTTTCATCCTCACCAACTGGGTTTTTATAATCCTAGTGACTTCCCAGTTGAGTGCAGAAAGCTGCCTGTTGCCCTGAAAACTGGCATTTTTGAATGCATAGTTACTGCATAATCCCTGGTCACCCCTGTTTCCTTGGAAGTGGACTATCTAGAAATGGTTTATAGGTTCTTTGGCAGTATCTAGTCCAACATTCCTATAAGCAAACACTGGGAAACATAACCTAATTTCTTGGACTGAACTTTTTCATTTTTTCATGCTCCCTAATTAATAGCAGTGTGTGCTACAAAATTAGTACAGCTGGAACCCGACATGCTTTCTGGCCTGTTTGGAGGTACTGAATGTACACTGGTGATGTGAAAGTCATCAGAATCCCAAGCTGCTCAGCGGCTCCGAGCCTAAGGCCGCCACCGAAAAATGCTGTGGCTTTTTCCTCTGAGAGTTTATGAAGCCACCCTGGATACTCTGTACAAAACTTTTTGTGCTTCATGATGGCTTCACTTTTCTTTTCTGGCACTTGGCAACTATCAAAAGCCTGTATTCCTAGTAGTAATTCTTACAAAGCGTTTTAATGATGATGTATACACACGGCAGGTGATCGCAATGGCACAAAGTACTCTGTGGAACAGGCTGGTGTAGTCTTTTATGTTTTAAAACGATTCAGCTCTTCTCCAAAGTAGGAAGATACTGCACCATGACCGAAACGGTGGTGTTTTGTGGCCAGGTTGGGACTGATATTTGTGGACTCCAGTTAACTCCTGATGACAAGGACTTACTGAGCAACATCATACTGACTATCAAGCAAGAGATTCATCAAATGCAGCCCCTGCACTAAAAAGCAACCCAGATCAATTCCTCTTAAGCAGTGTTAGAGGTATTCTCTTCTTAACTCATGCCTGTAAACCCAGCTGTTCTCAGTCAGCAGTGCCGAGACAATAAGCCACGTTATCTCTTACCCATCGTACTAACCTGGCTATCCAGTCCAAGCAACAGAAGCATAATAAAAAAAAGGATTGCCCAAAAGGTGGGCAGTGGCATCATGGACACGGCTTTTGGGTAGGCAATGAAGGCCAGGCCTGGACCTAGAGAAAGAGAAAATAGGAAAGGGGGAAGGGAAGGGAAGAGAAATAGTAAGTACCAGCAGTTTGGTAAAGGTAGCCACACTCAAATGCTGGAATGCCTGGTTCCGTTCAGATAAATCCAAACGCGGCTGGAAATACCAGAAGTGAAATAGTTTGGCTCTTTTATCTGAAATCGAAGCACGCATGACTACAGCAGAAACCACAGGCAAACCCCCGAGGCCATTGCTAACAGATCACCAGTTTTAACATCTGTCTCAAACATGCCAATAATGGAGGTGGTCCTACACCTGCCCCGCTCGGACACAGGGCAGTATCGGGGCCGGGGGGAAAAGGGGTGACCCAGGGGAATGGGAGAATCCCACTGCTAGCCCACATGGTCACGATGGAAATGATGATGATGAGACTCTTTTGCATGCAGGGAAGGGACTCTGCTCCAAACATTCCCCAGGGTCTTTGCTAATGCAACCGCTGCCTCCCTCTGTATGCAACCTCCAAACCCAGCACGGCTTGCCTAGAGTGGGGTTTGCTCTCTGGGAGCCTGCTCCTTTGCTTCTGCAAACCCTCACTGCTGCACTGAAGTGATCAGGCTACTCCTAGTTATATCAGCTGTGGTCCCTGGAAAAAAACGCTTCCTGCTGTTAGGAATTGCTGGTGTGTAAAATCACACTATGTAAATTCCCTTCCGCACGCTGGCACATCACCTGTCCCTATCCGGCCAGCCTGGGCAGACCTGCCACGGGGGTGCTAATATGACCAACGTCAGCCCCAATGGATGCAACAGTCCGGGAGCACCAGTGGGGCTGGGGCTAAGAGCCTGGCTTCTCTGCTCTGGAAACCAAAGCCTTGTTTGCAAGGGCTCATCGCTACACTGGGTCTCGCCTGCGCCGCGGAGCAGGCGGCATCTCACTCATACCCACACACCCAGCATACGTGCAGTGCTCTCGCACGCTGATCTCCAAAGGCGCTCCCACCTGCAGCCAGGTGCTACCAGCTATCGCTTAGGAGAGCTTTTGGTGAGAGAGAAAGAGCCCTCTCCAAGTGGGAGACAGGAACACTGGCAATCTGGCATTTACGGCAGGCTCTCAAAGTGGCCATAGAAAATTTGTGAAGCCGACAAAAAATTCTGAGGGCAGATTTAAATTCAGATTAAACCTGGGAATGCCTGGCTCATCTGCTCGTTTCTTTTAAGGAGCCTCAAAAAACAGCATTTTCCAGGGTTTTGAAGTGGATTCAAATAATTGTCAATAGGAAAAGGAATTTTTTTATACTGCTGCAGTGCAGGGACAGAAATCTTATCTCTGATCTGTATAGAAAAATCTCTAACACTGCTCTTCCTACCTCCCACTTTTCCTTTCCAACAAGAAAGATGGAAAAAGAAGCAAGAGAAAGAGGTAAAAAAAAGATGACTTTTTTTTTCAAACTAAAGAAAACTTTAAGTCACTGAAAATATTTGAACAGAAATAAATACAAATTAGCCAACAATTGAGCAACTAATTTTATTTAAAATGAAACACAACTAAGATTTTATATGACAGAAGATACCAAAAAATTGGTGAATGTCTCAAATTTTGGGGGGCTTTGTTTTTTGCCCCCTAATTCAGTGGATATAGCAGACCCTCCATGAGGGAGAACTGCTACCAGATGGCATTTGCTGCTGATCTGTGCAATTGATGAGACAGATGTAAAACTGCTCTCCTCAGAACTTGCTGCAATTCTGTGTGCTTTGGCCAGTGAAACTGTCCTTCCACTGTGATACAGTCTAATACCAAGCGCCCTAAGCCCTCTGCTAGCTTTGATTTTCCTTTGAAACTAAGTGTTGAAGTATGAAGAGAAAAGCCCATGTGAAAGAAAATGTTCCTGGCATCCCCTCAACTGAACATAAATAACCTACAATCATATTTAATTTGAAACTCTGTTGCTCTGAAGGGTGTTTTGTCAAAAGTGAAGCACTTGTGGCTGCTATTAAGAGCTAATTAGGACTGCCACAATCCCAGCCCACTCGCTGGCCATTTGCCGGTGAAGCACTGCGGCATGGCTGGAGACGTGCCCCAGGAGCAGGGTGCTGCGGAGGCAGAGCTCGGGCAGGCGGTAGGAAGGCCAAGGCTCTATAGTCAGGCCTGCTTAATCTGAATTTGTTTGCAATGGATTAAAAAAAAAAAAAGAAGAAAAAAAAGAAAAAGACAGCTCTTGTGCTGTTTTAACACTGCTATGAATTGCACAGGCAGCAATGTATTTCTTCCAGCCAGAGGCGCAGCACAGATTAGACAGGACTCACTTTGGCTTTGCTGAGCCTCCACTGCTTTCCTCTCTCCCTCTAAAAGTATTTCTGAAAAAAATCAAGTGCTATTTATTAAAAGTCTCCTTTCACTGGGAAGTCAAAGGGGGCTAATGTAACTGTTGTGCAAGTCTAAGCCGGTGAAGGCCAGCAGCAGCGACCGGTGCTTTAAGCGGGAGCCACCCCTCGCTGACAGGGGCATCCCAGGAACACCGCACCAAGGCTGAATTTGGCACAGGTAAAAAAATGTGGCCATGAGATTCTGCTGTCAGCAAATTTGTTGATGTTCCCTTGGCTTGCAGGAGGGTAAACAAGGAAACAAATGGTGTCACGCATAGGCCAGGAGGGACCTGACTTGCCGGGCAGAGACGGCAGGGAGCAGGAGGTCTTGGCCCCGGGGACAACGTCCTCTCCCTGGTGCCACGGCCAAGCAGCAGTGCCACTGTTCACCTTTTTCCTGGCCCAGGGGAGCTGTGCTGACCTTGCATCATAAGAAACCAAAGAAGGCAAGGCTGAAAAAGAAGAGGCTCGGGCGCTTGCTGAATGTCTCTGTGCTGAGAAGTCAGCAGCAGGGCAGCAGCGGCAGCGAGAGCCTCCCCATGGCTCCGCACGGGTCCTGGGACACTCATCCCAGCAGGACCAAGTGGTGTCCAGTCGCTCTGCGCGTGATCTCTGCCAAGAAAGGCAGCAAGGAAGCCCACGGGAAGTGGTTTGGGTAATTTTGGATGATTTTGGTAATGTTACTGTCATGTAAAAAATCTCCCTTAGGATTTAGCTGAAGATCAGCCAGTACTGATGGGCAACCCACTGACTGACCAGGGAGACAGTTGCAATCTCTGGCCATTAGCGACTAGGGCTGAATTTAAACAAAGCAGAAAACTTGAAGGAATTGACAATAAAATATGCAAGAAACTGGAAACCAAGTTCGGAAGCTAATCAGTGCCCTTGTTGTCCCTATAATAAGCTATAAAATCCTTCCTTTAAAAAAATGCTATGTAAACACTAAGTCTGTTAGTTAATTTGTATTTAAGCATTACTTAACAAACCAGCGTTATTATAAAATTGTTTAATGCTAAAAATGTCAAGCAACAGGAATACAGTTGCCTGTTTATCAGAGATTTAATAATAAAAATTAGAATAAATATTGACCAGATAAAAACCTAATGTGGAAATACTTAAAAATGCTACTCTTGGAATTGATCCACCTATGCAGTGAAAAAAAAGGGGCTATTTATGACTCGTTCAATAGGATTATTCCCTTGCTTCCTGTTTTCAAGCAAAGCAATCAATCTTGGACCAAAATAAGCATTATGGCCAGGACTGTTAACTAATGACACTTGCGAGAGGTATGCCAACTGCAGCCACCCAAGAATCCAGCGGTGCCACCAGTGTCATTAGTTTTTCATTAGCCCTTGTGAAGTGAGGTATTTTTCTTAAAGGCTTAACTCCCAGAGCCACGTGATCGGAAAAAAAAGAAGATACATTGGCTTTTTAATAGCATGTTTGCAGAGGAAAGCTTTCAAGTACTATGCAGGTGAATCAAAATTGCTCAAAAAATCAGGAAGAAATGCCAAAAGTGAGTCACTCAGGTGACATCGTTATTACTTGAATCTGATTAGCTTTAAACCTCATGGCTGTTGAGGCCTGACTCTTTATTTTTGAATGGTAATTCCCATCTAATCTGTCTGTTCTACATGAAAACACATGGTTACACCTGCCCTCACGGACAAGGCATGCACAGAGGAAAAAATGTCATCTGTTCTGTCTGAGATACATTCACATGCTATGAGGATTTAGCCTTCTTCAGCTGCAAGTGTGTAGCTGAATGTCAACGGGAAGAACACTTCTGAAATAAGGGAGGAACCTAAGTGTACAACCAGTTTCAGAATGGACTTCTCACAGTTCTGTCCACCTCACCCTGGAGCTACAGAGGACAAATGCGGGACTGCAACAACTAGAGTTCCTGCCAATGGAATGGTGCACAGAAGCCAGGAGATGGGAGTTCTCTGACTTCTCTTGCCTTTCAGGAAGACTTGGGAATATATGTGTGTACGTCCCTTCAGAAGGCCAAGGTAACATTCCCACTGCAGTGCTCCACTGTGAGCAAGCAAAACTAAGATAAGAAAAATGCATAAACACTGGCTATTTGCATCTGAATGAAAATAAAGGTAATCTGAAAAGAAGGATGGAATAAATTTTTGAATCAATGACATTCTGGGCCCTAGATAATGGAGTGGTTGTTCAACCCTAATCTCAGCCCAGATGGATTAGCGTACTCTAGGAAATGTGTTCGCTGCCCTGTTCATCAAGACAGAGTAAACAATACAACCCCGGCTCACTCTCGCTGCTCTAGATGAACGCCCAAATCAACAATGTGCTTATTTTTCTGGAGATTATGGGAAACCTTGTTCTGTTTTTATTGCTTAGATGTTAGCTGATTGAGTCTGCAGAACTTTGCTCACACGCTAGGCGGCAGTGCCCACCACCACTGCCACCAATACCATCGTACCTGACTCTGCCACATCAGCAATGTTCACCCCTTGCTCTTGTGCCATGAAGCCCAGGACGGAAAAAATTGCGAAGCCAGACACAAAACTGGTACCACTGTTCAGGCATCCCAGCAGCAAACAGTCCCTAAGTCACACATATGTCATGGAGCAAGTTAATTAAAAAAAAATTAACCCATTGTCCCTACTTTATTTACATCATTTAGCTAAAACACTAAACCCCCTTGGATGGAAACTTGCCTATAGCAGTTGTATTTGTACTTGTTGTAGCTCCCCAGGGAAGTCATTGCTCCTAAGCAGATTGCATATGAGAAGAAGATTTGTGTCCCTGCATCTATCCAGACCTAAAGGGAAAGACAGAAAGACCGTTATTACCGGCATCGTTGCATTGCAATGCTCAATGCACACACAGAGTTCAAACTATGCAAAAATCAACAAAATAATTGCTTCCATTGAGG